TGCTTTTAGTTACCTCAAAACTTTTGATTTTGCATTGTTTTCTTCAAATTCAAATGAAATTGTTTCTAGCAGTAATCCAGTGATAGTGTATCCTGTGCAAACAATTTTGCTTGCAGCTAATGGAGCATGAGTTTCAAAGCAGGGATATGGTAAGATAACTGCTGTCTCACTCACAGGAAAGTATGATAGAAACTGTAGTACCAAAAACTCAGAAAATGTTAAATGCCAGACAGAACAAAAAAGAAGGAATGACAAACTCCTTGACCATTTTAAGGTCAATCCCAGGTTTTGCTAGTCCATGTCGATGTGTCCTTGGGCAAGACACTTAAGCCCATATTGCTGTGCCTGGTGGTGGTTAGATTGTCTTGATGGCCAGGTGGCATGGTAGCTATCAGTGTATGAATTTGTATAAATGGGTAAATGACATGTAGTGCAAAGCACTGCACAAGTACAAGTCCATTTGTCCATTATGTTTATAGTGTGCATAGTATGCATATATAATGTGCATATATAATATGCATGTGAATGGTAAATAAAGTGCTTTTACACTACATGTCTGTCACCCAGTAACACCCATCATATCCTGTGATAAGTACAACCTGTAACGGTGTAACGGTTAATTTTGAAATTGCATTGTTTGTTTTGGTACAGCTCTGGAAGGCAAAATACTGAATCGGATTTGTGAGCAGGATGACAGAATGGCATTTCTACCAAACTCCATCTTTCCACTTGTGGAAATCCACCCAGAGGCTCCAGTAGACGGCCGCTTCAAAGAGTTCCCAGTTGAGGAAAACATCCAAGTAATGCTGCTTTTATCTTGTTTGGAAAAATGATACTTGAAAATACTGTTGACCTCAGTCATAACAGAAGTTATCTCGAGACACTTTCCATGCAAAGCAGTCTACACTGTACTCTGGCTTTTGGGTGGCAACCATCTGCTACTGGTTGGCTTGAGAGAGAGACAGGGAGACAGGAACAACAATGATAGCACAACAGCTATAATAATAATATGAATAAGACTAATCCATATAATAGTAGCGGTGACTATTATAAAAATAGCAATAATATCAGAAATGACTACTACTACTTTTAACAGTAGCAGTGGATATAATATAATGATAATAGCAGTAATTATAAAAGAAATATGACAATGATATGATAATAGTGATAGTGGCAGTGGTAGTTAACCGGGGCCGCGGCAGCAGGAGCAATCCCGATCCAGGCGTACATAGATCCATGGAAACCTGCGAATGTGACAAAGCACCATCCACCTTGTTTTGAAGAAACAGTTTCCGTGAATGCTGTGATGTAAAAATGTGAAATTCGCACCATTCGCATAAGTTGAAATTTTTTAACTCGGGCAAAAATTTGGGTGACGCTGTGTCGCAAAAGCCTATCAGAGATGCTCCTCCTGTCATCACTGACGTCCTGCTGTTGTTGAATCATGAAAAAAATTCCAAAATAAAGTACACATCAATTATATTGAAATTTAACCAGATGGATTATAAGTAATACATAGAAATACATAAATAAATGTTCTTCTCTCATTTCAAGTAAAATAAGGGCTCCATCCAAAAATAAAATACACAAAAAATAATTTTTGAAAAACTTGCATCTTAAAAGAAAGTGCTTGATTTTAGAAAAATGAATGAAAATGAAAGAGTGGTGGTGGAGTGAACTTTTCTCTTCTCTTTTGTTAAATCCATTTCACATCATAATTTTTCTTTTTAGAGCACGCCGTAATAAACTGCTTCTCTGACTTACTTCTCCCACTTCTCTCTCTCTCTCTCGCCCCGTCTCTCCCGTGTCTGTGTGCAAATCTCACTCGGCTCACGATGCGTTTCAGAATACACACACTCGATTGGCTGAGTAGCATCACGTGAGATGATTTACAACGCATGTAATTGGTCGGTGTATTTCCTGGACTGCTGACCGAGTGCCGTAAAAAAGCTGCACGGGTTAAAATAGAAGCGCTGTATAATTCTCAATTATCCATCAGTTGGGTCGCCTGGGTCCAGATCCGGACCGGGGTCCGCCTATTAGTGACCCCTGGCCTAGTTCTGACAGAGGTTGATGCCCAGAAACGTCCCAAACGTCGATCGATCAGTGCATCTCGGCTCCACCAATGCATGTGTACAACATCGTTTGGCTTTTTTGCATTTATAATTCAGGCTTTTATTTATTGAAATATGATGTTAGACTCCAAAAGTTATCCCTGCCCCTCACCTCCGCGGCCAATAGTGATACTCACGGTCTCGGATGAGGCAAGTAATGGCAAAGAGGAGGGGGCATGTTCACCCAGATGCTTTTATAGTTGCGAGGCAAGCCCACCAATGTCAGTCACATGACTCTGTGGATATAAAATCTTGAGGATCAGTAGAAGGATGGCATCATTCAAGGTACAGAGCGTGAGTGACTGATTTTTCCAAGCATTCACCAAAAATGTCACAGCAATTGAGCCATTCTGTCTTTCAAACAAGGCTCTGCAAGTTGCTTTTTCTTGTTTGCGTGGCTGCATAGAAGACTGCATTGAATATAACTCTGTCATGTAAAAGTATGTCTGATCTGAGATTCTCTACTTCCCAGCTTGAACTCCCAGTGGAGACAGTAACCGCCCTGACTCCACAGTCCCATGAGTCAGGTAGGGTCGACAAGAACCTGGTTGATACCGAACTGTTGGTGGAGCCCTGGGACGAGCTGCCCGACATCACGTTCACCTCTCCCGGTGGCAGAGGGCAGCAGGACCCTGGGCTGACCTCCGTGGTGGGTCCTCAGACTCCGGCTGGCCAGCTACATGAGGCTGAGATCAAACAGGCTCCGGTCAGCCCTCCTCCTCCTCCACCCCTGACGGACTCATCGCTGCCAGGTAAACAAGCAGAGCGGCGACGGATACAGCCTTTGAAAAGTGTCTATTATAATATTATTTCTGATAAGTTTATTGCCTACTAAAGACACATGACAAAAAAGATGGTGTCATCAGAAATGAAATCTTGAGTTGTGCAACACATCATGAGGGTGCTTATCACATGGACCTCCCTGTCTCTTATGAGTTCCTTTGGTTGTTGTTTGGTTAGATGAACAGTAACAATAATGTTGAGACCAAAGTTACAGGGCCATGCTAGAGGAGGCCTTTTTTTCTTATTTTTAATGTTTTCTTATGTTTAAGTTTTAGGGATACCATGTCTGTATAGTCTTGTATAATTATTTGTAAATTATGAGAACAGATTCATTCAGTGGTGGAATGTACCAAGTTCAATGTTTTGATATTTGTATTTTCTTGGAGTATTATATGCTTCTTTATACTTCTATTCCACTAGATTTTAGAGGGATATTTTGTAACTTTTACTCCACTACACACATTTCATAGTTCGGTTTAAATTACTAGTTATTTTGTTTATTTAGATTGAACACACAAAGATAAACTTCATCAATTTAAAAATGTGTTTTTCTAGATCGAACTACAATTTGTGAAGAAATTATGAGTTCATCTAAATTAGGAACAAATGTAAAATATCCTTACACATCAATAATAATTATAGAATATATAATATAAAATATCGCTCAAGGGAGTACTTCTACTTTTTGTACTAGAATCATATTTCATTGATAATACGCCTGTATTTTTTATACTGTAGTATTTCTACTTTTGCTCAAAGCCACAATGAGCAGGATTTTCCTGAAAAACAATGTATTGACTCATATAAAAATAATCCTTCTCAATCATCACGTCTGATCCACTAGAAGTGTGTGATGGTGTCTGCAGCCACCGCCCTCCAACTGTATTTTCATATGTTGTGTTCAAGACCTTCCCCGGCTTTAACCTATAAAAATGAAGCCACCAGTGCCAGATCGTAAGCAATCATCCAAGATGAAGCTACCACAATGGTGAAAAAAATGCAAATATAAAGCCAACCAGACAAAGCTTATAAGTGAATCTGTGGTTGGCTTTCGCCCGCTGACAAGCACCCTAACACTAACCGCAGTCAGGGGGCGTGGCTTCTGGTATTGTTGAGCCGGGAAGGAGGGGCCAACTTTGAATTGACCGACAAGTCCTACTCATTGTGCCTTTAAGTAAAAGATGTCAATACTTCACTTTGAATAGATCTGAGCTTCACATTTTGGAATGGAAAGGGAATGAAGTAACAAGTAAAGAGTCCACTCAGATTCATACAGGTTAAAACCAGATTGTTTGAATTTTATCTCAGGCCCTAATCAGACCTGACATGAACATTTGCTTGTGTGATTAAATTACAAGTGGAGAGTTCAGGAAAGTACAGGTGTGCCTTTGTATTCTATGAGAAACCACAGTATTAATGTTAACATATAAATCAGACAATGCACAGGCACTTCGGTCTTGGCCGGTCTTCCTCAAGACTGAACTGCAGAGTAAAAATGCGGTCGATTCCGATACGAGGCCGAGACCTTCAAAAAGACCGATCTCGACGACTACAACGCTGGTCTGTCCCCTCAAGGCAAACTAATAAATTGGCAAAATTGGAAGTGTGCGTTTAGCACGACAGACTTCCCGAACACAGTTGGGCACTTTGATTTGCATTGCTGCCTTCGGCCGTTGCAAACAACGATTTGGTCTTTGCAGAGCGGGGAAGTGAGATCCGAACACAAGTGGTCACTGGAGATGCATTCTATTGCCAGGTCCACTTGTGGTCGGATCACCCAAGACGCCAATGAATGCCAGGTCTAAACAGGGCCTCAGTCGGGATGTGTCATGTAGCAGTTTATTCTGATGACCTGCTACATGTATGTTGAAACTGTAACATGCAGTGAGTTATTGCACCCTTCTTATCTTTTCAGTTGAGGGGTGCAGTCAGCCTCTGGACCCAGGTCCCTGTCGACAGTACGTGGTCAAGTGGTACTACGACCCCGAGGCCAACGCCTGCGCTCAGTTCTGGTTCGGAAGTTGTCAGGGCAACGCGAACAACTTTGAGACTGAAGCCAGCTGCAGGAGTTCCTGTGTCTACACGTAACAAGCTGTGCTCGGAGAAAAGGGTGCATGCAAAGCGAACATGCTCCATCACCGTCGCCGAGGGACGGAACAGACTGGTGCTTTGTGGACTGCTGCAGGTCAAGGACGTCATGGAGATCAGGCTTGGACCTCCTTACTGTCTCTCAGGCTACGTTCACACTGCAGGTGCTCCTGCTCAATTTTTAACTGCTGCACATGTACTAGCCGTCTGGTCATTTTGGAAAACTACATATATCTGCTCTGGGATTTATACCCAAATATAAAACTACAAACCAATATGCGCTGACAGGGGAATCAACAAGACTGGGTTCAACACGCCATCCCTGATGCAAATCATTTTATTGTGCCTTTCTTTCGGTTGTTGTCTATACACTCAGACAGCGATCCTGTGTCAACCGGTTCAGTTTTTCAGCTCTGAACATGTTCACTTGAAAGTTCTTAATCGCAATCCACTACCCTCAAGTCCTTCAGTACCATGATTAAAACTTGATATAATATGAAATAAAACACAAGGCGAGTTACACAAAATACTGTAATCACACACATTACATTACATTACAGTCATTTAGCAGACGATTTTATCCAAAGCGACTTACAATTCAAATTCTATCACACCGTAGGCACCGCTACGGGAGCTAGTTAGTTAAAAAAAATCCTAGATAATGACATAATATTGTGAAAAAGATAATAAAACGAACCATTCAGCTATGTATCATATAATGGGGGCAATGAACATTTTCTGTGCATTAACATTTTTAGAATATGTTGTGCATCAGAGGGTTAAACAGCATCTCTGAAAGTGCAGCTCTTTCAAAGTGTTGTTGTGCTTATCCTTACCGGTGTGACCAGGATTTCAAGTTAAACAAGGAAACAGGTGGGGGGTGGGGGGGGAGAGAGGGAGAGTTCAGCTAAAGAATAGCAGAGCCTCAACTGACAACAGGGTTTCACATCTCAGTGAGTGTACAATGAATGCAAAACCGTTTATTCAAACTCTGCATCCCAATCAGCACATTCCATCTACTCCATGCAGCTTGGCAGGACTCACAGCTGTGGACAAACAGACTAAAGCTGTTTCTGTCGGTAACTATGGCAAATTATTTCTCAGTTATTGACAGTTGTGTCTAAATCTGGTTAGTTAAATTATATGTGCCAGTAGGATTTATGTCATGACAATATGACGATGAAAAGAGCACAGGGCAGAACATCAGAATTGAGGAACTTTCACCTGCAATGTGAATATAGTTACCATGTATATTGTTGTTACAGATGTAGTTTATGGACCTGACGGGTATAAAACACTTTCTATTTCCTTTTAGGGTATTTAATTCTGGGATTCGTCTTGCTATTGTTTTTGTGGGTCACTGTTTTCAGGTGTTTCTTTAAGAGTTGTCTACAAAACAGCAGTGCCTTTAAGGGCATGTTGATACCTAAGCACACTGTGTATTCTTAAAGGGATGGATTGGGTGTTTTTAAGTGGGCTCGTATGAGGTACTTATCCATAATCAATGTATTGCCTACAGTAGAGGGACATCGGCACGCCCCCATTTTGGAGAAACGGAAAGGATGGGATGCAAAGCAATATACTGGTGTGGACGAGGCCAGCAAAATGCTCACCGAATAAAAACCTTAATATCAGTTCATGTATACATATGCTCTATTAAAAATATTTTCACTGTTTTTTTTTCCTTTCGGATGGGCAACTGAACTGAAAGAGAAAGTTATCTATGCTCTTTTCAAAGCCAAGTTTCACTTTGAGTTCAGTTCCCCATCTGGTATTTAAAATATAGCGCATACTTAAACTGACATTGATTTTGGTGATCCTTTCTTTTAGGTATACAAAATACATTCCACACCAGTATATTGCTTTGCTCCTCTGCCAGTATTCCTGTCCAATTCTCCATTCTGGGGGCATGGCGACACTCTGACTATGGATAAGTACCTCATACAACCCCACTTAAAAACACCCAAACTATCCCTTTAACAATTAAGGTATACTCACATGTTGTAGCTACTTCAATATTGCTTTCTCAAGCTGTAGTTGTTTTAGTTCATCTTAAGAAAACTCTTTTAACCTCTATTAGGATGAATATTTTATGGACAGATACATTTGACTGTAAAATATACTGTTTTATTGTTTAACACTGTTAAAATGCCAGAAGGAATAGTAAAGTTAGAACACGGTAGTTCAACAAAATAAACCTTTTTTTCAATAAATAAAATATAATTTCTTAAAGATTGTCCATTTTTATAACCCTTTCAAAAGTGCACACAGAGCAACACACATATGGCATTTGACATTGAGTACACAACAGAGATGCTCACAAGTCATTTTTTGGAAGTCCAAGTCATGACTCAAGTCTTTGTTGAGCAAGATTCCAAATCAGGTCTCAAATCTTTGGTCCATTGACTAAAAGCTAGAGTCCAAGTGAAGTCTCTCAGCTGGTTGCTTCATATTTATTGTACAAGCCAGTATGCACCAATATTGTATTTAATAATAATGCTTTGTAGTTTTGTCAAGATTGTCAGGTTTTCAGCCCTGCCAGATGGTACCAGTGAGATGAGATCATAACTGTTTACTACTGATATATGTGCATTTGACAGCAAATTATTTTGGTGGCCAGTATACACAAAACTACTGCTTTGTATGCAGTAGCATACCATAGCACCATTTTAATGATCAATTTCCATTGGCATTTATCCCATCTTTTCTTTATCAATACAACTTGTTTTTTTTTTTGATGTTATTTTTTAATGTCAGCTATTTAGATCAGTAGGTATTTTCACTGCATGGCTAGATATACCCCACACCCCATCTGTCACAAAGTTAATGTGGTTTACCCTTGTTGCTGCCAAACTTCACAACAAGCTTCTTTTTAGCAACTTCAGTACATAATATACACAGATGTTTTCCCAGAGAAAGGCAAGCTTCTAGAAAAACGGTACAAGTTTGTAGCACGGTCATAAAAGACAAATACAAGGAAGACAGATTGAAGGCCCGCATCATGTTAAAATTAGATTATTCCTTACATTTCTTATTAAATACAAAGTAACAGCTAAGTAAAACAGACCCACTCACACCCCCTAACATCAACACTGTTTTCACAGATTCAGACCATCATCAGGAATACTTGGAGGTGCAGGTGGAGGGAATCAACTATAAACCTGAAAAGTCTTGAATTAAAAAGTTATGGTTAGGGAGATCTTAATATATAATGGTGAGTAAATTAAGTTTGTCTCTGAAACCTGCTGAGACCCTCAAGTCCTTCTATAATTAGTGCAGAGGTTGTTGTGCACATTAACATTTCATGTGGAGTTAGTTGTGGTCTTGAATTCAGTTTTTTCATCCGGATTAAATCTGTATTTGTATCCATACGGCCGCAGATGGTGCGTCAGGTACTCCAAAACATACATCTCGACAGCGTGAATGTAGTGAAAGGACACGACAAAATCTGAGCAGCAGCCTGGACCCTGGAGAGAAAAAGAGAGAGAACCACAATAGAGTTTAGCACAGTTACGATTCAGACTGTGTGCTTAAACAGCAGGAAGCCAAAGACGTCTCCGCAGGTGTGAATGTTGAATACCTTAAACTTCCATCCACTACACTCTAGTATATTTACAATGTAGTAATAACAGCAGTCACTCCTACTTTAGGTCCAGTATTCCCTTAGTGCTACCTGTTTGGTGAACCTGTCTCATGGACAGTGACGTAGAGGTACAGTGCCTTGCAAAAGTATTCACCCCCATGGCTGTTTTTCCTATTTGTTACATTACAACCTTGAAGTAAATTTGATTTTTATTTGGATTTCATGTAATGGACATGCACAAAATGGTCAAAATTGGTGAAGTGAAATGATTAAAAAAAACATGTTTCCAAAAATAGAAAAGGGGAGTATGCTATGAGGCCTCTCAATAACATCTGGTGCTACCAAATACTGTGAGAAGTCAAGATAATTAGATAATTATAGTCCAATGAAGTCCATCAAGTGTGCAAGCCAGGGGCGTTTCTAGGATTGAAAGAAAGGGGGGGGCTTAGCCCCAAGGGGAGAGGCATGTTTTGCACGCATGGCAATTTTTTTTGGGGCCCATTTGGGGCCGTGGATATCCATTGTTTCAGACAGTTCATAGATTGGTTCAATCAGAAAGAGTGTGATGTTGCTCTGTAGTTTTGCTTGCATTCAGTATATGATAACATAAGAGACAGAATTTCAGGGTCATAGTGAAATTTGACAACACAAATATGAACTTTTCTCAAATAAAGAGAGAAATAATTTTCCTACTTGTAAAGGAAAGACGGATAAACTAGCTTTCATATCCGCATCACTCCCAAATCCTAATTCTTAAAGGGACCGCACACAATGGATGGAGAATGGACCTGACAGTGTCAACTTTATATCGTTAAGTATGATGATAGGCTGTTGGATTGTAATTTGAAGGGGGAGAAAACATACAAACCAGAATGCACGCACATGTGTAGCATGTTAGAGTTATAAATAACTTGTCCATGTGAGAAACAATAGTTTAATTTAATGACATCACCAAAAAAAATTAAAAATGTATCTATTTTTTTTAAATCCAATAATGCCAAATTATTTGGGGGGGCTGAAGAACATTTTAGGGGGGCTTCGTCACATGATCTAGCGGAGCACCATTAAATCTATTACTAAAATGGAAAGAAAAGGGCACCACACCAAACCTGCCAAGAGAGGACCAAAAACTCACGGCAGGCAAGGAGGGCGTTAATCTCAGAGGCAACAAAGAGACCAAAGGTAAGCCTGAAGGAGCTGGAGCGCTCCACAGAGGACATTGGAATATCTGTCTATAGGACCATTTCAAGCCGTACACTGCACAGAGCTGGGCTTTATGGAGGAGTGGCCAGAAGAAAAGACGTTGCTTAAAGAAAAAAAACAAAAAACTCCCATTGCACCCTATAGTATTGTCTCGTCACATGATCAAACAGGAAGTTGACATTCAACAACTTCAAAATACATTACCCAGCAATTATCACTGCAAATCTGTACGTGATGAGAATACCAAAGGAAATAAGAAATTATTTATTTTTTAAATAGTTTTATTCTTTATAGTTTATGTGGAATAAGCATATCCTTTTGTTAACCCTACTGACTATTTTACAATTTAAAAAAAAAAATAAATTTAACTTGATGGTGATGGATTTGCTTTTTTGAGAGAATATAGCAAATGACAGCACTATCATTTTAATTTTTTGTTTTTTGAACACAGGCATATTTCCTTGGTGGCAATCTGAATCGCCACAAGAAACTGCCCTAATGCAAGCAAACTGCCTGCACTCTCTAAATGTACGCCCCTGCTCACGAAACATAGCCCTACCAACAATTGAGGTCACAACGGTCCGTACTCCTGTATTTTCTGACTACAAATAACTCGACTTTGTACAACAATGATCTTGTCGTTACTACAAAATCTTGACTCAACATGGTGGTCATGTGATTATATTAACAACTTGAGGAAACCAGGCAGGCAGCTGAATCCATGCGAAGCCCGATTCAGAGGAACCGATTTCATTAATGGAATGCCATTCGTCCCCAGACATCATGTGACCAATCACTCCTGTGTAACTCAAAGCTCAGCTTTGGGAGGAGAAGAGATATACGGGACAAGGTGAGGAGAAAGAAAGAGAGAAGGTGATTGAGATGAGAGAAGAAGAGTAGGTACTGTACTGATGCCAGAATAGGATAAGCATTATGTTAAAAACTCACCTGATCCAATTCAAACTATGTCATTACTACAGAAATATATTTGGTTTATACAGTGGAACCTACAGGCTCAATATAACAACATAAACACCTAGCATAACTAAAGTGTAATGATAGCATTATATTCATATATTGTTGTAAAACACATTTTGCTTACATTTATGTGGTTTAAGACATATTTCTATCGATCAACTCCAAAATTATGCAAACTCAATCAGAAAGATGGAGTAAAGAAGGTGTATATCATTTTAGTAAATGATTTTCAAAGCATTTTGTCAGGAGAGAAGTCAGGAGTCACAGAGAATGGTACAGGCAGTAAATATAGAGGGTGAGAGAGAACAGTAGTGGGAATTTGCACTTTAATTAAACACTGTAAACATTCATTATCAGATCATTGCAACATTCAACCAGATTATCATACTGTGTTCAAACTTTGGCTCAGTAAGGCTAGAAATCTCAGTTTTTGGACCTCATTTCTCAAACCCTTCAACTTCCTCAAGCTCTACACGTGTCAAACTCAAGGCCCGCCACGTCATTTTATGTGGCCCGCGAATCCGCCAGCAAAAAAAAAAAAATTATTTTATTTTTTATTTTGGAAAAAAAATAGTTAGACTTGAAAATAAAAGTATCCCCATGGTCGAAATTATGAGATAGAAAGTTGAAATTATGAGATAGCATGTTGTCTGTGTACCGACATTAAAACTATCACAACAGGTGGACATGAGAGGGAACAGCCCGTAAAGAGGTTTCCCAAAAAGTGATTGAGTTGAAAAAGATCGACAAATAATCCCAAAATGTCCACGAAGAGAAAAACTGATGCAGACGGGAGAAAATGTAATGAAAGATGGGAAAGCGAATACATGTCTGTGCTTGAAGGAGAAAAACGGGTCTGTCTTCTGTGTTATGAGGCGTGTCGGTGATGAAGGATACAATTCACGTCGGCATTTTGACACTAAACACGGAGCTAAATTTAGCCTCCAAGAAAAACATAAAATTGTCCAAGAATTAAAATGCAGAGTGCAATCACAGCAGAATATATTTACAAAAGCTACAGCCCAGTGCATGCTAAAGGTATGTGAGCAGGTGAGCTCCGACCAGATACAGACTTTTACAAATGTCAGTTTGTGAAGAAACACCATCGCAGACCGAGTTCAGGAACTGGCAGCAATCTAACAACACAGCTAGCTAAGAGATGAGCAGGTACTCGTCTTCTTCATTAGCTGTTGATGAAAGCACAGACAACACGGACACAGAGCATCTATCCATGTTTATAAGACCTGATCTCAGTGAGGAGCTCTTGTATGTAGCTGCCATGCGCGGGACGACGGCGGGGACATTAGTGATGCAGAGAGGTGACAAAAATAGCTTTGAACAAAGTCAATGTAATAACTGGTGTTTGATGATATTTGTCTTTGTTATTTTCTTTAAAAGTTTGATCTTTGATAGAGTAATGTGGGTTTCTTAACCCTAAATTAAAATTATTTATTATTTATTTATAATAACAGAAATGTGCTTAAATATATTTTTACATTTATATAACTGCATGTACAATATTTTTACACTTGAATAAACAATAATCAAATGCAGAGAGTTATTTAACAATATGTTAGGAGTAGTTACATTTATACAGTCTTAGAGTTACAACCGGCCCTTTGAGGGAAACCATGATGCTGATGTGGCCCGGAGTAAAAATGAGTTTGACACCCCTGCTCTAAGACATCTGACCACACCAAGCTCTGGCAGTCAACTACAGTCTGACAACCAACCATTAACTCTGGCTGTTCCAGTCCAGGTGAGCTTGTGCACATGAAAGAGGCAGGATTCTAACAGCCAATCACATGCAACATCCAAAAACCCAGGGCAGCAGACCTTTAAGACAATGACCTCCACTTGGAAATTTGGTAACTGCAGCATCAAAAAGTTAAAACAGCCCATTAAAACAAGATAAATGTAGCAATATATAAAACATGTGGCTGACAATGCGTAAATAGCAGTGGTGGGCCGTCAGGGCCAGCAAAGCCTTCTCTGCTGGCCTAAACAGAATCACAAAATTATAGCTATTTTATAATTTAATAATTTTTCACAAATACACTACATGTATTCAAAAGCACCGTAGCTTGTGAGTGTCCTGTTGTGCTATGGTGTCGTGTTGCTGCCTTGGTTAGCTCCAAACTCCAAGATGCTCAGTTGCAAATAAAACGCATTCTTAGCCATAAAATGTGCAACGCTTCTCTGACGCTGTCAGCCAGAAATACTGTTCATACAAATCCTTTTCCTGGCTGGGTCAGGGCTGCTAGCTGTGGGGTTGGCCGACCCTTTCTTACGATCCAGTTTTTCTGGAAATGTCCTTGAGAAATCCGGTTCTCCTCCTTCAGCCATTGAGTGTTAAAAAAACAAAGCTGGGTAAAAAAAAAAAAAAGAATCTACACCAAGCAAAACGCTAAAAATGTCATGTCAATGTCATAACTTCTTACATATCTTTCAACTTGAACCGTTACTAATAACTTCTGCTAGCTAGCTGTGTGAATTGTTTGTAATAAAATACGTTTGGGTGAACCATAACTGATTAAAAAGACGGTGTTGTGTGTTGAGGAGGACCCGCGAGTAGCACGGAGTCGGCTACAATGGGTTTAACATGTCATACATTGTCCTGGAGGGCAAAGTCTTTTACCTGGTTGCTAAGATGTCACTACGTTCTTTGTTGCTTGTCAGTCTAACCCAGAGGTAGCCAACACGGTGCCCACGGGCACCTGGTCGCCCACAGGGACCACATGAGTCGCCCGCAAGTGATGTTCTAAAAATAGCACTAATATGAAGGCAAATCACTGTCAAAATCCAAGAGCGCAAATAATATCCACGCGCACTCAAATTAAACAGCAGCGCGCGTATATTACTTCGATGAGTGCTTTCACATCACTACGCGCAGAATAGCTCTGCTCGCGCGAGCAAAATTGCAGCCTGGTAGGAGAAATACGGCCATCGCCATGTTAATTTTTTCGCAAACCAATGAACAGAAGTTGCCATATTTGGAATGCGGAGGAGTGACTTAGTGACGCAATATACGGCTCTGGTAGAGCCCTGTCAATCACAAAGTAGCCCCGCCCTAAACCATACTCTAATACCATACCATTTGACTCTAAATGGACCATAAGTTACTAAATGAACATCATGCTGTATTGAAGAAGACTTGAAACTAGAGATTGAGACCATAAACTCATGTTTACAATGTTTACTGAGGTAATAAATCAAATGAGGAGTAGAGTCATTTTCTCATAGACTTCTATACAACCGGACTTCTTTTTGCATCCGGAGGACTGCTTGGTCAGCAGAGAGAATGCAAGTTTTAAGACACTTTCGCATTGGCTTCAATCAGGAGAACTGGAGGTTTCCGCCTGCTGCAACCCAAATGACGTGTGACATTTCCTCTTTTAATTCTCCTTTGCGTGCAACTGGATGCTCCGTGTGCAAAGATGCATTGGCAGCATGGGGGTTTGACTCCGACACGTGTGTGTGTGTGTTTGCGTGTGTGTTTGCGTGTGTGCGTGCGTGTGTGTTTGTGCGTGCGTGTTTGTGTGTGTGTGAGTGTGTGTTTTATGTGTGAGGGCAATGAACTATCAAAACAAAACCTGCTGTGTGAGTGTTTGGTTAACGACATTAACTGGCTAATCCTGCTCTGTGAGACAGGCTCATGGTGCTTTTGTGAGGGACACCTGCGCTGACGTCTTTAGGTATCAAGCATTGTCTTGTGAATGAGTTAAATTTGTGTCTCATGGTTGACTTCCACGCCGCTATTCAAGAAGGTAACACCTTGGCCTGTCGGAATTTGCTTGTTCTGTACCCTTTGCTGAAATTACATTTTTTTTCCATGCATGGAACACTTGATACAATCCTATCACTATCCTATCAATACCCTAAATATAAGATGAATCTTAAAAAAAAAAAGTAAATGACAGGCCACTGGCTCTAGAGATGGCAATGTTGGTGTGTTGGTCCTCCACTTTTTATTTATCCAGTGAAATATCAAACATCTATCGATTTATCAGAAGGATTTTGAACAGACATTTATGGTTCCAGATAATGTATCTTATTGACTTTAGTGATCCCCTGAACTACTGGATGGAGTGCCATGACATTTGGTGCAAACATCCATGTCTTTTCATACATGAACATATGGAAAAATATTTTAAAACTACACTAGGCTAACGTTAATAAAAATGTTGTTTTGTTTTTTATTTCCAGAAATTCCCATGATGCCTCACAATGCTTTCCTGAGGCCCATGCTGCGTCCAAATTTAAATCATGAAGGAAAAAGAAATGTATTTTCTGTCAATGAAAAACGAATGAGGTTTAAGTCACCCCTCTCCAGGGATTGATAATGCCTGGTCATGTAATGCCCCCCAAAGTGAAAAGGCACATGCAGACGAACGGCACCCGCCTCCATCCATGACACTCAGTGGGTGAGCAAGGATACCTGAGAAAGGGGTGTCATTCATCTGCATGCACCACCCACGCTGCAGTGAACCAGAGCTAGCCAAAAACCGGCAAAGCCTCACCCCAAGCGAGCCCTTGGTGAGGGAAAAGGCAAATGATTTGGCGAAGCTGTCATTACTTTATCTAATAATCATCCTCTTATAGTAATCAATCTGATCCGGACAGACCTGTTCACTATAAGAGGATTCCACTGTAGTGTTGATTAGCAAAGCTTTCTAACACACAAAATTAAGATGGTCAACACGGTAAACCTACTAAACATCAGCATGCTAAAATGTAGCATGTTAGCATGCTGATGTCAGCATTTAGCTCAAAGCATCACCATGCCCCCAAACAAGAGCAATAATTTTGGACAATTCTCCAAAAGCCCAGATTCCGTTCATCTGCAATGTCTTTGTACGTTCAATGTCAACATTAAATTCTTCCCACAATATCTGTGCTACCTTCTACCTTGGTTTGTTCATGAAAAGATTGTGCTTAAAAAAGCACACCCTGGCCTCCACACCTTTACTTTCCACCTCTCGACACAAAAGCCACACTACTTCTGACATAGACTCTGGATGTAAATTGTGGCGTCCAGAATCTTGAATGATAAATGAATTCCCACTCAGAAATAGTTGGCGTCTTATTGGCATTTTTAGTATAAATCCAGATTCTCAACAGGAACTTGTGTATTGTGTTGCATACCTCTACCGGGGGATAGTGTTCGTAAAGCAGATACCAAGGCCTCGGTCTTGGTGGCTGCCTGACGAGGTAGTGGTCTGGAGGAAAAGGATGAAACGTTTGTCTCCCCTTAATGTCCCTGGAGTCCGCTGGCTCCACCTTCATCGTCTCCATACATTTACCCAGAGCCATGTCCTCTATGTTGGAGAAGTGGGTACATTTCCCAGTATTGAACCCTTCGACAAATCTCCTCAGTGCTTCCTTACTGAGGACATAACCTGCTCCTCCACTCATGTAGCCTTGACTGATGAAGGGGGTAAACCTTCTACCCAGGTACAACGGCTTTTCAGTATCATATGTAGACAAGGTGTAGCGTAGATTCTCTATGACCACGAACGTGTCGTCGTCTGCTTTTAGGAACCAGTCCGCTTCATCCAGGTGGTGCTGGTGGATGTACTGAAAGGCTCGGATGGTCTTCCAGTACAGGTTTTCCCTCCCCTCACTCACGTTCAGCTTCACAGTGGGGAAGTCCGTCTCGACAGAGCTCATGTACAGCACTTTGTTGCAGCGCTTGGCCCACGTTTCCCTGATGTGCTTGGTCCGGGATTCCAAGTTCTTGGGCCCCGTCATGATCCAGCACAAGATCCGCGGTGTTCTAGGGGAATTAGCCGCTGAGCTCTTGTTCTCAACTGGAGGAAATGAAGAACAAAGTATCAAAAATGTGTTGCGTGGACATTTTAGACCTGAAGGTTTCAGACCTACAGTTAATCAGAACAGTACACTTGGACTGTTGTCAAGAGTATAACTGAATTAATGAGTAGAGATAAGCCGGTATACCAGTTCCACTACTGTGATCAAACAGCCATGACCTGGCCCACTCCTTCACACAGGAGAGGGTGAACAAGTGTCATAGGGCTGTTACACAGTTTATTGTTAAAGGCCTGCACATTGTCAACAGATGAGTCAAAGGGTAACAACTAATAAGTCTGTCAATGTATATTGAGTTGTTTGATACATAGTTACTATTAACTTATAAGTTATTTTGAATAATAGTTTATGACAACAACATTAGTAAACTATTATTATTAAACATCCCTGCTGTTGCCGTTCAAGAAATACTATTTGTTTAAATATGAATAACAGAGCAATGTTGATTTTTTTTATTTTTATTAATTGTCATTTTTTTCTCACAAAATAATCAAAAATAATTGATAAGAGTATCGAAAAGGAACCGGACCAATAAGCAGAATCGCTACTAGTATTGATAAAATCCTAATGATCCCTGTCCCTAGACATGACTGGTCAAGGCACAATGTTGGGACGGAGGGAGGAAGCAAGACAGAGCTTGTATGTGTTTGGCTAAGCCCCCTACAAAGCACTGCCTTTTTAAAAGGTGATAAAAACCTGCATGGTCTAAATAAATGTCCCCTTCACTTCTGTGGTTGGCAGTCTGTAAAAAAGATGTGCGCGTTCTTGTTTAAGAAGAACCAGCTGCCCATGTTTTTTAAGATGGCAGGTTTTCAGTTGATAAGCATTCCGCTTCAAAGGTTTGGACCCGACCTTAGACATAAACAACATGCTGCGTGCTGGAAACGGTGCCAATTATTCACAATCACTTTGTTTGCTCCATTTATAATAAACACTGTACATGCCAGTTCACCGATTGTGTATTAAGACCGGTATTTAATAATCCAGGTTAAGATAAGTGTTTTTATAAATGTAACCGTAGTCTAAATAGTTTCTGCAAAACAGTGACTGACATGATTAAATGGAAATGCAGGACTTTCACTCAGGAGACCGCCGTTTGTGTCCTGTGTGAAACCAAAAGTCAACATTGACTTATTTTACGTTAAGGGAAACGTTACGTATTAAATATACTTTGTTTAAAGCCAAACTGGGATGTTTTACTAAACTTAACCAAGTAGTCTTGTTGCATTTTAGTTTTGTTTCAATTCAAAATGTTAACCACTTGTTTAAAACTGCGACCATCAGCCAGGAGGAAACTTGTTTTGGTTTAGTTGTATGGGAACATAATGAAAATCCCCAGTTTGACAACCACTGTGCACAATTTTGATAAAATAGTTAGAATTAGCTCCGCCTTGACCTGCTACAACAGTCAAATACTGCTTGCACATTCAATAACGTTACATACAAAATCGTCATGGGGGCTCAGTATTTGTGATACTCTAAGTACATTTTACTGATAATAGTGCTGTACCTTTAGACTCTTGAATGCATGATTTTTACTTGTGACAGTTTTATATTGCATTGGTGTACTACAATTAAGATATATAGGAATACCACTGTTAAAGCACAAGAAAAGCTGAAACTTTATATTTATTTGATTTAGGATGAAATGTTTTAGATGTAACTCCTAACAATGAATTCTGACTAAACTGCTTCATAATAGTCGTTGTAGTTGCCTTGTGACTGCTTGCTGTCATAATGAGTTATGCCTTATTGAGGAAACAAATACATTAGGCCTACTACAGATCTATAAAGCTGCTAAATTCTGTTTTATCAGAACTCCCACATCTAGCCTTAACCTCCATCCTACCAACCAAACAAATTGAACAATCAAGGACTACTGAAAAGAATAACCTACTATAAAGACAAACAGCATAGCAAAATGTTAACTTTTCTTGTCAAAACATTAGTTATGTAATTAATGTAATCTGAAGAAAACTAATTATTAATATTTTGGGAAATGTACAGTTATTTTGCATAATGAGTAAAACGAAAAATAGACAGAGCACACGAGGAAATGATTGTCAGTGTCTCCGTCAAACCGACTGACAGACGAGTTCCACTCCCCTGGTAGAGAGTGATCGTTTAAATGAGGAACCATGGCAAGCACGAACTCATTAAATACTCAATAAATGAAACAAACAAATTGATTGAGAAAGTTAAAAAAAATTGTAATGATAGGATAAATAAAACAAAACCGTATACTAACTGGGTCGGCCGGGACCCCAGTCGGTAGGATGAGGGTTTAACAACTGTTGGCACTTCGGTACTTGTGGCAGCTCTACCAATCATTAGATCCGTCAGCATTTTCACCGATTGTGTTCTGTGTTGCATCCAACACCACTGGAATTACGCGCGACCAATTACGCATGGCTGTGGTTTAGATCTCATGGAGGCTACCTGTTACAGTCGCCGTAGTATTATCATTATTATTATAATTATTATCATTATAAAACACCAGGAGAATAATCAATGATTTATTAGCGCTCGTGTTGAAACTGACTTTGGTGCTTCACAATTCAGGATAAATTAAAAGATCATGAACAGATGGCTTGAATGCAAATAAAATAATGATGCAATTCATCACTCATAAATAAAGTAAAATGAAGGTTCTAGATGCACCCATTGACACTACATTGTGGTGCATCAGCCATAAAACGTGCATAAAAAGACACGATTAAATAAAGTATGGATAAAATCATCACCTGTGTGCACGAGCTGTTTGACTTCGTGCGTAGCATTCCTCGTGAAGTAAATGGCTTGTTCTGTTGCAAAGTTCGAGTCCAACACAATGCGAGAGGAGAGAAATCCCATCATGACTCCAATGGTGAAGATTAAATGAGACTTAATGTGCCTCATCCTCCTGATTGACCTGCCGGGAACAAGTACCAAGTCACTCACTGCTCGATGCGCACGAGATACTTCTCCGGTCACTTGCTCTAAAAATGAAGAGATAAATAAGGAAATAAGGATGAGCCTAGAGCGGCAGTTCCCTCTCTGTTTTTCCAGACGCAGCGCGCACGCAGTCACCCGCTCTCACGCGCGGCTGTTTCCAGTGTGAATCCGGTAAGGCGGAGCTCAATTGAACACTTCCTGACGTCACCAAACCCTGTACACACAGAATCTTCCTTTCATGAACAGTGACTCTTATACTGTTGCTTGGTGTGGTTAATGAGATTAATTTCCCTGTGAGAAATAAACGTGATGTGAACGCTCTTAAATGTCTTTGAGTATTTTATTAAACAGACACTTAGAATAATTCAGCTGAATGGATAGAGCTCAAAGTCAAAGGTTTTACGGAGTAATATATGCTTCACACGACCTGAAATCAAAAGAAAGATATAAACCTATCAAGACTAAGTTGTTTGGAGCGCCTTGATATCATAATTACAACCCATGCCACAAAGCCTCAGCATCCCCAGTTTGATTCCACCCCTGGGACCCCCCCCCACCAGAATAGAAATCTGAACCAGGTTAAAGATAACGGTTTTTTTCTTCCCAAAGGGAATTTGGGATGAATATTTGTATCACTATACATCTGAAAATATTGTCAACAGCCATAAAAAAAGAAATTCTCTGTTTTTAGGGGAAAAACCCTCCATAGATCATGCTATAAAGGAGGTATGAACAAACGCCTGTTTAAAAACCTTCAGAATATAGAAAGGAATGAAAATGGGAAGTTCAGTGTCTGAAAAAAATAATAATTTTGAGGAAACAGCCTTTTAATTAAGATATAAAATATATAAACATGAAACTACATCAACTCTTATTTTTTGTACTACAAGTTTTTAGTCTAAAATTAATTAGACTTAAATGAGACTTAATGTGCCTCATCCTCCTGATTGACCTGCCGGGAACAATAAGTGGCCAAGTCACTCACTGCTCGATTCGCACGAGATACTTCTCCGGTCACTTGCTCTAAAAATGAAGAGATAAATAAGGAAATAAGTTTAAAAATGCAAATGGTGAATTATCTAATGCTTAGTTTTTTGGAAATTTAGGAGAAATCTACAGATGCGCTCAATTGCAAAACTGATTTCAATAATCATTATATTAATAATGTGTTTACATTTATAATTGCAGTTTAGTAACAAGCTTTTGCTGATGGCTTATTGGAAATTGAGAAACTGAAGATCCTATGTTAATGACCTACGAACATTTCTAACATCAGATATGATGATTTTTAATAAACTGAGAGGCACTCAAGCATTTTTAAGCAATTCATTAATTAATATTAACCCTTCATAAAGGGTGAATTATCAAAACATTATAAGTAAGTAAAGGTGTCTGCTGGCAAACCGAAATAAAAAAAAACTTTTTTATTTCAGTTAAGTGTGAGGAGAAATTATAATACAAAAGTTACACAAACTCAACAGGATCTCTAATATGAATGCATCTGTTTCATGTGAATTCCTGTGGACACAAACAAGACTGATCTGATGACTGCAGACAATGATGGAATTTAATGAATAATCAGTGCAAAGGCTTACAGGTACACAGCAACAGAGCAAATTATTTAGGGAGCTTGGTTGGACGGTCTCTGCTTTCAGATCTCCATTAACTTGCTTGGGGAGAAACTGGTGGTGGGGAACAGAGATGGGGAGGGGCGTTCTCCGTTTGGAGGAGGAGCAGGAGTTGGTGGTGAATGTGGAGGAGGAATAAGCATCTCTGGAACACGGCTCTTGTCGTAGAAAGCTTTGTCCTGGCGGCCCCGATCAGCTCCTGGTAGATATGGACGTGTGAAGTCCAACAGAGTCTGGAGAAAACCACAAAGAACACGTGTTGTATTAAAACACCATGCATCACCAAATCTACATTAAAAACTAAAAAGAAAAATCAGTATTTAGATTCAGAACATAACTAGACTTTGTAACATTTGAGGTCTTTCCTTTCATTAAGAATTTCCACTTAAGATATTATTCAAAATATGTCCAATTACTCAGATAAATAAAATTCCTTCTTTCAATAATGACTTCTGCAGGCTTGATCATTTCAAACATAGATTCAAAAAGCATATAAATACATTGCTAGACACTGAGACACTAATCCATCATACTGCTATACATCAGCCTCATCAACATTACCTTGAGTTCAGACTAGTGGGAGGAAGAAGAGCTCTCTCTGGTTGATGGATTTCAGCATCACAGTCAGTCAGCGAATGGAAATACTTCTGAGACACCTGTCAGAATGTGAACAGAAAGACAGCTGCACTTTATCAGTCCAGAGATGTGATTAATTCACAGCTATGTTGTTGCATGTTATCTAAAAGGTTATATTTACCAGTGTATCTCTGGTCCCTGCTGTTCCACTCTTATGTCTTCACATGGCAACAGGAGGCAGCATGCAGGTTGATGGAGGAGGCTGGAGGTGGAGCTACAGTTGTCTGGCAGATCCTTCAGGCAGAGTTGGATGTGCAGGGTGACGTCTGTAGGTGGAGGTTAAGGCTACATCTGTCTTCAAGAATCTTCAGGCGCAGTTGGAGGTGCAAGGTGATGTCTGTAGGTGCAGGTTAAGGCTACAGCCTTTGCTAGAATCTGCAGGTGGAGGGGGCAGCTGTAGGTTCTGGCAGAAGCTGTAGTTGGAGGTTTGAAAGGCAGCTGTCTGCCAGAGTCTGCAGGTGGAGGCTGGCAGAGGTTGCAGGTGGTGGAGCAGGTTGAATGCTGGTCAATGGAAGTTGTTGATGCAGCTTGTCTGGAGCACGACACTTCAGAGACTGTAGGTGGAGATCAATCTCTAGCTACCTTCCAGGATCTGCTGTTGGAGTATGGGGCAGCAGTTGGGTGGTAAAAGCTGCCTGCAGAGGGTGGAGGCAGCAGAAGGCTATTGAGTTTGGATCTGCAGCAGGGTGTGTAATGGGAAAATATGTCATAGTCTCATGTGAAGGTTTAAAGAATGTAAGTCCTAAAAGAGCAGACACCAAACTGTAGTTTCAGTAGATGACTTTAATTAGTTTAGTATCCAGGTGTCTTGTTATCTGTTATCATTGTGCACTGTTTCTTTCTTCTTCGTATCTGTTATCTTGTGCACTGTTTCTTTCTTCTTCGTAAGACAGACACACAGAGAGGCCTTGACTAACAGAGATCCTCTGTTTGAAATACTTTGGACTTCCTTTATGACGCATTATCTGAAGTTGTAAAGGTGTAAACCTTTGCATGCATATATGATGTGTGAGGGTAATGAATGTCTATTCTGTCTCTGCAATGGTCATTTTAACAATGTCACAGTGGCTTCAAAGGAAGCATCTGCTGTGAGATTTAAACGGTTTATTGTAAGGCAAACTGTGAACAAAGGGATTTGCAAACAGGAGATAAAGCATCTTTCTGACTGTCTTAAATGAAGTATACTAAGGCTTGAAGGATGACCTGCCTTTTATTGTGTTCTTTGTGTATTCTTGTTAGCTAAGCAGATAACAGGAAGCTGTCTGAGTATAAATGTCCATGCATTGTGACTGTTAGGTAGACCACTCTTACAGATCACTGCAATGTGTCTGTGAGACTGTTCTCTTTGCTTGCAAGCAAATAAATTGACTTTACAAACCTTGATCGTTCATCAAAACTCTGTTTACTTTATATTGATAGAAAACCTTCACTTTCTTCTCCCGACTAGTCATAAGAAATATTCCACAACAGGTGACAGAGGCTGGAAGTGGAGAGGAGTCTATTTGCAGGTGGATGTTTGGCTGGCAGATGGATATATATACAGTATATATACAGTATCATACCTGATATGAATGACATACCACTCTGATTCAACGGCATATACCACTAATATGAACTTTCAAGCGGCACTTGCCTTCAGGAAACAGTGTGCTGTTGGAAAAGTACTGGCATACAAGGATAGGTACCTAACCCTGAACAACAGTAGCATACCACTCCAGGGATAGATACATACCACTGAACAACATACCACTCCAGGGATAGGTATACCACTGAACAACATACCACTCCAGGGATAGGTAAATACCGCTGAACAACAGTAGCATACCACTCTAAGGATAGGTATTGTAGAAATATGCTAACGGTATTTACAGGCATTAAACGTATAAGTATTATGTGTGTGCTCATTTGCAATAGTGTTGCGTGTGTCATAGAGCAAAGGTTTGAATCTCCGGGTGAGGCACTCGTAACTAGATGTGTTGTGAAACGGATAACTCCGTGGGATATTGTGTAGCAACCTGCAGGAACAGCATCTTCTCTGTCCAGAGAACTGGAGGTCTCCCACATACACAGGGGCCCCAACAGGGGCCCGTGTGTGTGTGTGAAGATAACGCGTCCCTGTGCAGGACAAGGTCAACTCCTCATGAGAATGAATAAAGAAACAGGGTAATGATAGGCCAGGGCTCACAAACACGGAGAGGAGAGATGGATATGCCGAGCCCTGACTTTGTGTCTGATGCTAGGGATATTTAATCAATTCTTGTGTTGTGTGAAACCATAGACCTATGCATTATGCTTTGATGCTTGACTTAATAAATTCTTAATACTTATAGATCATCTACCGTCACACCACCATTGGACTATCAGACTCTGCACTCAAGTGGTTTCAGTCCTACCTTTCAGGCAGAACTGAATATGGCTCACTGGGAAGATGCAGCGCTCTAGGAGGATAGTGTGATCCACTGTGTCAAATGCAGCAGTCAGGTCCAGGAGGATGAGGAGTGAGGGTGATCCCGCATCGGCTGTCATCAGCAGGTCATTCGTCACCCTGAGCAAAGCTGTTTCAGTGCTGTGGGCTGAACGAAATCCTGACTGAAATTTTTCAAACAAATTGTTGTGTTTGAGGTGGTCCTGAAGTTTTAAGCAACTACCTTCTCTAAACCGTTGGACAAGAAGGTGAGGTTGAAGATAGGCCTGTAGTTGGCTAGAACCTCCGGGTCCAGGGTGGGCTTCTTGAGAAGGGGACGGATGACAGCAACCTTGAGTGCAGGTGGGACACAGCCAGACTGCAGGGAAAGGTTAACAACTTTGGTGATCAAAGGACTGAGAGTGGGGATATGTGATTTGAGCAGAGCAGTAGGAATGGGGTCCAGGGTACAGGTACAGGGTTTCATTTTTCTGAGGATTTCCTCAACATGGCTCTCCTGAACCTCAGCAAGATGTAGAGGAGACAGCACACTCGCAGATAAGGTGTTGGTGTCAGAGGGAAGCATAGATGGAGAGCTGGACATCAGAGAGCGAATGTTGTTGACCTTGGATCTGAAAAAGTCAATGAAGCTGTTGCATTGCTCCTCTGTAGCCTCAGTTGAAGAGGATGGTTGTGGCTTCAGGATATGGTTTGTGGTTGAAAAAAGCTGTTTAGAGTTGCCAGGGTTTCATTGATTAAGCTGGAATAGTACTGTGAGCGGGCATCTTTAAGGGAGTTGGAGTAGGCCCTTTGATGCTCACGGAAAGCCTGTTTATGGACAGTGAGCCCAGAGTGTCTGCAGCGTCGTTCTAGAACACGCCCAGCTGATTTTATTTTCCGCAGCTCATGTGTGAACCAGGGAGCGGAGCATGAGAAAATTACCTCACGTGACTTGACAGGGGCATGGAGATCAAAAACACTGGTCAGGGATGTATTATAGAGTTCCACTAATTCATCCATTGATGCAGAGGCTGGGCAGGTGATGAGCTGGAGATCCGTGGTCATTGTGGCTGAGTCAATGCTTTTCCAGTTCCGGAAAGACATTTGACGTTTAGGTCTAATAGTAGGCAGCACAAAAGTCAAGGCCATTGAGACCACCTTGTGGTCGGACACACCGAGATCATAAACCTGTAGGTTACTGATGGAAGCAGAGTCAGTGATAACCAGATCCAGAGTGTGCCCCTTGGTGTGAGTGGGAACCTCAACATGCTGCTGCAGGCCAAGACACTCAAGCATACTCAGGAAATCTCCTGCAATTTGACAGGAGGGGTTGTCGACATGGATATTTAAATCACCAACAATGACAATGTTAGTTAACATAGTGCAGAGTGAGGTAAGCAGATCACTTATCTCAGGTAGAAAAGATGGGTTTGGTTTCGGAGGACGGTATATGAGAAGCACTGTCATGGAGTATGGAGGTTTGCATTTGAAGGCCAGGCATTCCATAGAGGAAAGATCAGGCATTGGCAGAGGAGACAGTTTTAGTTCAGCCCGGTGCATGATGGCTAGTCTCGCAATGTTTCCGATGATGACTCCTGGGTTTGTTTTGTTTCCTGATTCCACGTTGAAACCGCGGCGCGAACCTCTATGGATGTAGTGAGGTCTGTTTTTCAAAATCGACCACAAGCCGGCCAGCAGATGCCAACAGTTTAAAAACCAATAGTCATCACAGAACAAGGACTCCAGTAGAGCAGGTAAGCTCTCAGTTTGACCAAATGTCCACCGTATTCCTGTTGTATTCCAACACGGGAGGTAGGCTAGGCTCTCAAATGAATTAATCCCGACCGTATTCCAACTCAGGGAGCAATTAAAATACGTAAAAAAACGGGGTTGAATAGAATAGCTGTAAAAATCACATAAATCACACAAGCGGTAACAAAGTGTCAAGAGGAGCGGCTGCCAGCGTACCCTCAGGAGTGACGAGTCAATTGTAGTATTAATACACATTTATAAAGCATATATTAACATAATCCCTAAACGTTAGGGCATATCTAAATCATTATATATATAAATGCATGAATGTACATCTACATAAGTTCTTAATTATTTACTTACTTTATTAATCATCTACAAGTCCTTAATAATTGGTTTGTAAAATATATAATACTTCATTTACAAATAGGGAATCCATCATTTATAAAGTATGAAAACACAATAATGAAACACATAGACGAGCTTATTAATCAAGAACAAAACATTTATAACCGTTGTTATGGATTACTACATGCTAATGAGTGTTAATGTAAGAACAATGCTTTATAAATAATGAATTAAGCTTTTACTCATACTTAACTAATGCTTCATAGTGTGTAGTCATTATAAAGTGTAAGTGGCTTTCAGGTGACCCGGATTAAATCCTTAAGCACTGCGGGAATATTTTATCTATGAATGAGTTTCTCGAGGTACAAAATCAAAGCGGTGCATTAGACAAGATGAAGGTGCTTTTGAGAATAATATTTCCAAAAGGAGGAGATACCTGTCAGCACTGAAGGTAAATATCAGCTGGTACCATTCCTGTATACGGCCCTACTCTGCACTGCACATACTGTGAGCGAGCCTCAACTTTCAGTCTGGCTTTAATCATAGAGAGAAGTCCGAATCCGAATATCTTTCCGACTTTACCGAACTAGGCTACCTTAACTTTTATCATAATTATGAAATCTGGATCTCGTAATCACGAGATCTTTTGTCATAAGTATGAGTTATTTTTTTGTAATTACAAAACAGTAATGCAAAACTCATCAGAGAAAATTGAGTGACCATAGTTGATAAGTTATGTTTCAGTTTGATCAGATGAAAGTGAAGACGAAGACAGGTCACAAAACATACAGATGTGTTCAAAGGTTTCACAACACATTGATATTACCATTCGATGTGAAGGTGCAGCCATAACAATGTGATATCTTGGAAGTGAATATTTCCCCCAGTGTGGCATCATGTTCTGTAAGAAGAAGTAAAAAACAGTTTCTAACTCAACATTTTCTCAGGAGAAAAAATAATCACCACATTTGATGAGTCATGTTTTAGATTCCTGGAACCGAAAGTCAAGGAGCGTTTCAAAAAGACAATAAAAGAAATGATACTCAAGTGCCCCGCCTCTACAAACCGGTTCGACGTGATTGTGAACATTTAAAGGTGTGTGCTCAACAACATCTTATCATTTACACCAACGAAGCCAAAGGCAAGGCAAGTTTATTTGTATAGCACATTTCAACAACAAGGCAATTCAAAGTGCTTCACATAAAACCATTAAAAGCATCAAAACATAAGGCAAAAGTAAAGGAGATTTAAAAACAATTGAGAACATTCATTGAAACATTAAAAACAGTCATTAAAAGACTAAAACCAGTGTAAGAAATAAAATACAGTAGTAAAATGCAGAAATTGATTAATATCCTTGAATCTGGTTCAATTAAAGGCAGCAGCAAACAGAAAAGTCTTCAATCTTGATTTAAAGGAGCTGAGGGTCTCATCAGACCTGCAGCTTTCTGGACTTTGTTCCAGATATGTGGAGCAGAAAAACTGAACGCTGCTTCTCCATGTTTAGTTCTGACTCTGGGAACAGAAAGTAGACCGGTCCCAGACGACCTAAGGCAGGGGTGTCCAAACTTTTTTCAAAGAGGGCCAGATTTGATAATGTGAAAATGCCCAAGGGCCAACAGTCCCTGCTGACATTATTTTAAACAATACAAGTAGCCTTGTAGATAAAACAGGGATGAATTTATATCATTGTATAAAGAGAGTGACGTGAGAAGATCAATCTCATGTCTGTAAGTTAAATCAGCTATAATCACTATTTTAAAGTGATTAGTGACTCGTCTAAAACATTTAAAAAAGGAATAACTTCAATAGAATCATTCTGATACACTGTAGCTTCTTTACATTCTATTAGAATGTAAAGAAGCTACATTCTGATACAA